ACAGCCCTTCACAAGTCCACTGCTGAACATAGGCCTCCCCCAAGTAATGCCACAAAGCACGGTCCTGAGCCACCTGCATCCATCGACTTCCTGCATATCTTACCAGGTTGTCACTCCATCTAGTGGGAGGTCGCCCTGCACTACGCCTACCGGTACGAGGCTGCCACTCGAGAACCTTTCTTCCCCATCGGTTATCGGTTCTTCGAGCTATATGGCCGGCCCATTGCCACTTCACCTTACTAATCCGTTGGGCTATGTCGGTCACTCTGGTTTTACTGCGGATATCCTCATTTCTGAGTCTATCACACAGAGAAACTCCGAGCATAGCCCTCTCCATAGCTCGCTGAGCGACCTTGAGCGTCCTCATACGGCCAGCAGTGAAGGACCACGTCTCAGATCCGTAAGTCATCACTGGCAACACGCACTGGTTGTACAATTTAGTTTTTAGAGATTGAGGTATACCTGACGAGAAGATATGTCGTAATTTCCCGAACGCTGCCCAGCCGAGTTGAATCCGTCGATTGACCTCTCGGTCGAAGTTGGACTTACCTACTAGTCGGACTATTTGTCCCAGGTAAACATACTCGTCAACAACTTCGAGCATAGTGCTCCCAACAACTACCGGTATAGGTGTGACATGGACATTAAACATGATCTTTGTTTTGTCCATGTTCATCTTAAGACCTATCCGTTGGGAGGCACTATTGAGGTCATTGAGCATAGTGCTTAAGTCCTCCAGCGATTCTGCCATAAGGACTATATCGTCGGCAAATCGAAGGTGAGTGATGTACTCGCCATTGATGTTAATACCGTATCCTCTCCAGTCCAGTAGCTTGAAAACGTCTTCCAAAGCAGTGGTGAAGAGTTTCGGGGATATAACGTCACCCAGTCTTAAACCTCTCTGCAGTTGGATAGGTTTCGAGCTCTGGTTCTGTACTCGGATAGCCATCGTAGCCCTACTGTACAAACACTTCAGCACTTCGATATACCGACAGTCAACTTGGCACCGCTGAAGGGACTGCAGCACCGCCCAAATTTCGACGGAATCAAAGGCTTTCTCATAGTCCACATACGCCAGGCAAAGTGGCAAATTGTACTCTTCAGTCTTCTGTACAATCTACCGCAGGGTATGTATGTGGTCTATGGTACTGAAGCTTTTTCGGAAACCGGCTTGTTCGGGAGGCTGGAAGTCATCGAGTCTGCGTGCGAGACAATTCGTAATGACTCTCGAAAACAGCACGTAGACGCGGCTCAGAAGGGAAATCGGTCTGTAGTTCTTCAAGAGAGCGTTGTCGCCTTTCTTAAAGAACAAGACCACCGCACTTCTGCTCCACGCCTCTGGAGTAGTGCCACCATGGAGGACGGAATTGAAGAGCTTCTGAAGGACTTCCAGTACCGGTGTTCCACCCGCTTTCAGAAGCTCCGCTGTAATTCCATCCTCGCCTGGGGCCCTGCCGTTTTTAAGGTGCTGGAGAGCCATTCTAATCTCGCTTAGACTGACGTCCGGGATATCATCGGAATAGTGTCGGATAAGACTTGCTCTTGGATCGTTACTCACACTTGCGTGTGGCTCCAACGATGATGTGTACAGCTGCCCATAGAACCTCTCAATCTCACTCAACATCTCAGTTGTCCCGGAAACGATGCTGCCACATTCAGTCTTCAGCTTTGACAGTTGGCTCTTTCTGGCAGACAGATCTCTGGCAAAGACTTTGGAGCCCTGGTTCCGCTCGATCGCTTCTTTAATACGAGCAGTATTAAAGTTGCGTAAGTCTCGCCGCATGCATTTGGAGATCTGTTTGTTCAGTTGCCTGTATGCTGTCAAATCTGTTGACGATTGCAGCCTCATCTCCCGTCTAACAGCCATGAGATTAAGAGTGTGATCGGAGAGTTTTTGTGTTCTTCTGCGGTGGGTCTTGCAGAACTTAGCTCCGACCGCATGGACAGTTTCCACGAGCTTGTCATTCATATCGTCCACTGCATTGCAATCTTGTAGGCACTGAAAGCGGTTGTGTAACTCGAGCTGAAAGTTTTCGGGATTCTGGATTAGAGCACGAGGGGGACGGAGCGTTGACTTCATTAGACGAGACCTCTCCAACTTAACGTTTAGGTTCAGTGTGCCTCTAACCATTCGGTGATCGCTGCCAGTTTTCACCCTTGCGATCACTGAGACATCACTGAACAGTTGGCGTCTGGTCGTCATAATGAAGTCAATCTCATTTTTTGTCGAACCGTCGGGGCTCGACCAGGTCCACTTCCTGTGGGGCCGCTTCTGGAAGAAAGAGTTCATCATAAAGAGTCCCTCTTTCTCCATAAAGTCGGCTAGCTGCTGGCCCCTTCGGTTCCGTTGCCCTACTCCAAATTTCCCTAACTTCAGCTCACCGCTTTCTCTTGTGCCTAGTTTTGCGTTGAAGTCTCCCATCAACACCGTGTAGTGGCTTGTTTTCATAATTTCTTTTAACTGATCATTTTCAAAATTGTCCTTTGAAATATGATTGATTATAACCCGCATATCTGAAATTGATTAAATCAAATCATTGCAAGGAATACAAAGCCACTTGCATATTCTCTGTATTTTATGTATTCTATTTCATCTTCAGAAAATAGGTCATATTTAGTTTTTTTTATTCTTAGAAAAAGGATTTTGTCACTGAAGCGATTATGACGCCAACTACAACAAAATTCTTAAATAGGATAAATACTAACAATAAACTTAATAATTATTTAATCTCTTATTTACTAACACAAAGTTTTTGGCATCATCTGATAACGGGTCTGAAAAAATACTATTATTGTCTACCAAATTTAAGAAATACATTTTGACAGCTGTCAGACTTATTGCACCAAGTATGCCAACCAAAAAATGGAAATGTACAAAATTCGATTCTTTAAAAAAATCGATAACGATTATTTAGAGTTGGTAATCATTTACAGTTTGGTTTGAATAATACCAGAATAAATAAAAACGCATAATTTAAAACACAAGATTGATCAATTTCTTCTTATTTGTTGTTACTGCTTATTTCTAGAGGCACATTTATAAAAATTTAAGATTGAAACTAGATTAAAAATAAATTTATTCAATCACTTTCTTTATAACTAGTTGAGCTGTCGTTGTTTAGATTATTATTTGATTTTCGATAATGCAGTCAAAATTAATGTCTCTTTTAAAGTCATCCATAATCATCCTTTGTGATATGGGCACATGCTTCAACGAATATATGAGAAATAGCCCAAAAAGTTAAAGCTGAGCAACAAAATATGAAGACAAACACAAAATTACGCATAGTAAGCTCTCGAAATGGCGGAAGATTGAAATTACGTAGTAGATTTTTCAGCACGGCCTTGTATATGATTTTTTTTGCTTACACAAATTTGCATTCACAAATTTACAAAACTTGTTTAAATTTCAAAAACTTGTTTTGTTCATGATTGATGAAATTTAAAATAAAATTAAGTTGAACAAATCATACATTACAAAAATAACGATTCCATTATTTGAATATTTTTACCGATTATCTGAATACTTTTGCCAATTATTCACATAAAAATGAATTTTAATGATCCAAGCACTACGGTAAGGTACATAGCGACATATCATTGAAACGACGTCAAGTAAAAAAAAGTGATACTGGATATTTTTTTTAAATTTTATTATTTTTGCTAATTTAAATTAGTGATAAAAACTATACATGAAGTAAAGAAATATACATAACTTTATAATTCTTCGGATTTACGGAAAAGGTTATTTTAAATGTCGTGAGTACGCATGAGCAAAGTTATTGCGAAATGATGTGAAACGTCAAAAGGTATTTCTTAGATTTGGTTGACTATAATACTGCTAATCAATGACAAATGTAAAATACAATTTTTTCTTTCTATGGAGTTCTGGGCACATTCTATCAAAATGTGATAAGCATCATCGATAACATTGCAAGTTGAACAGTTTGGTGAGGTAGTTTTTCGCTTCAAGTATAAAAAATTATTGCATGGAATGTGCCCAGATCTGAGTCTTAATGCTATTACAGTATCGGGTCTACACAATATTCCGTTATCTATCCAGGTTGAGCGCATTGGGTACGGCTGGATCGTACGGTACCATATACCCCTTTCTTTTGCTCTTCGTCAAAATATTTCTTCCAAAGGTCATAACAATATTTTTTTAATAAAGGTATATAATTTTGAAATGAAGGGGTAATATTAATAAAATAGCCGAAATAGCTTGTTTGGCTAAAATATCAGCTTTTTCATTACCCTCTAAGCCAATGTGCGAAGGTATCCATTGTAAATATACTATTCTGGAGTCAGCCTGTAACTTAACTAGAAGTTTTAAAATCGCATATGCTACTGGTAAGCCTCGAAAAATTGAAGTACACCGAGCAAGGTGTTGAAGCGCACTCCTTGAGTCTGTTAAAATAACAATATTGCATATTTACAGTTAACACAATGTTTATATTTAGTTTCATTGTAATTGGCGTGAGGTTTATTTCTAAAATTTTTGTGAAATCAAATGTGCAGGTTGACGATGCCTCTAAGTTTTCATTAACAATGAGTGTGCACAGCATTACAATAATCTAGCTCGCAGTTTTTACCATGAGTGTGGACACTACTTAAATTATTAATCAAAAGGGTGGCAAAAGCTCTCATATTGGTCACAAGTTGGATTAATATTACGGCATCCATGGCGTTTAACCGATCTAAAGAAATTTTCCAGTGGGCCCCGATTTAGATGACGCAACCAAACTGATGTAATGCCAAAATCAATTTCAATTTTTTTTAAAAAAACTTCCATCCCTTCTAGTGTCTACACCCAATTGTTTACAGTTGGAATAAATTCTACCAGTGGAAGATAAACATCATAGACGCAAAAACTTTTTTGGCATCCATACATGTTTTGTGATGTATGGAGTGAGCCGTTGCAGGTCCAAGTAGTTTTGACATCTTTTCTTTTAAAAACTGCCATTAACTGAGTCGAAAATATTATCCATAAAAGCAACAGATCAGCATCTTCGTACTCTTCTCGAAGGATACTCTTTGTCTTTTTCTTGTCTGCCAATGCTCCTCCTTAAAATTAGAAATTAAAAAAATTATCAACCAAGTTTGTTTAAAATAGGAAAAAAAAAAAGAAACAATTATTGCAACACCCCACAAACATCATTAAGTATTTATTAGTGGTTGCGAATTGACTTTCCTGAATCTAATAATTTTAAATTTATTGACCAATAATTTAATGCAAATTTTGGTACCTATCTAAATTCTTTAAATTTGTTATTTTACGTTCATGCACAAAATAGTTCATAGGGCGCACTTAATGCCATAGGGCATTCTATCTAGGCATGAGTTGGATATATCAAAACGAATCTAAAATCCGATTTCAAACACAAATCGATTCATATAGATTGCTCAAACTAGAAAATCCGATTTCAAAAATCGACATAACTAGCTAAACTCTTACGATTTTTACAACCAAACCAATCCAAATCGAAAACAAAATCGACAATATCCAAACTTAAACGCAAACTGTTGCGTAGAAATCCAAATCCGTTTTTTCAGTGGCTCTCTCGATGACGTGAAGTTTGCGATTCAGATTTCGGTTTGTCGGCTTTGGAATATCGAAATCTATTATACATTGAGATAAGGGATCAATATTATCCTTACTGCTTAGTACGTAAAGTCTATATTGGCTTTGCGAGATTATGCGTTGATGAATTTTTGGTTCAGTGTGCGATCAATATGTCTTAATGTTAAGTCGTTTAAGGCTATATTTGAGAGATTGTGTGCTGATATATTTTTGTTTTTAGTTAAGTGTTTGCTTACTTAAAATAATTTTTTGTTTTCATGTTGTTATGTTTTAGACTTTAGATGTAAATTTAATCCTGGTGACAACTGACAACTGCTCCCATGCCGGTCAGTCGTAACAGTGTATTGTATTATATTATTTACTGATATTTATTGCCTTAATACCTTTTTGTTTAGTAAATATATGAAAAAAGTTTATAAAAATATTTAAAAATTAGGAGTGAATTGTGTGTGAGTGTATGTTTTAAGTGAGTAAGTTATATAACATTTAAATATTTTTAATTATGACTATTAAGTTTTTTTTTGTTTAGACTTTTTAATTGATAGACGAGAACTGTATTGATTTTCAAGATTTCGCGTAAACCCAGTGAGGTATGGACTCATTTTAACAAAAAAGAAAACTCTCTTGGAGTTGCAGTGTGTAAATATTGCAGTCAAAACATATCGTATATATCAACAACGAGTAAATTAGGAGCTCATTTAAAACGATCTCACGCTTCAATTTATTTAGCATAGTTAGATTTGCGTTTGTCGTTTTGTTAACTTATAAAACGAAATCTAAGTACGCAAACGAATTGGCGTGGCTAAACGATACTGAAAGCGGATTTTCAAAAACGGATTTTGAAATCTGAAATCGGATAAATATCGGTTTGCGTTCAAATCCAAAAACGCCCATGCCTAATTCTATCAGTCAACTATTAAGCTAAACAGAGGAACATATAAGAGGTGGTGCATCAATAATCAAAATAAAAAGGGCTTTTTTAAAGAATAGGGTGACAAACGAGCACACAGTCCACCTGATGGTAAGTGCTTCCTGTGGCCCATAGACATCTACATCTATCCTCGATTACAAATAAGAATGCAGAAGCGTTATCACCCGTGAGGACTAAGATGGAATGCCTCGTTTCCAGTAAAAAGGGTCTCCGGTTCTCTACACTCACCATACGAAACAGTAGCATTAAGCTACTATTTTACGCTGGTATTCTGTGAGAGCGTGGTCCTTCCCCGGCTGAGCCGATCCATTCGTACTACAACTATACTACTGATATAACTGCAGCATGGCTCTACCACGTAAAAAAGGGCTGATAAAATACTAACAATGATATTATCATTACTAATATTCCCCTTAACCACCAGCTTAAAATGCTTGTGCTAGGAATGGTTCACGAGAGTAGTCGAATGGCGGATTCGATTTCACGACCTTTTGAGTTCGCGGCCCGTACCCTGCCATTAGGCTAACGTAATGATACCAATGATTTCAAAAGGAAGGATTCTTCATACAAGAAAAAGTAGCGCATCTGTCATAATACAAACGTCATAACACGACGTAACCAGGGTCGGATTTCGTAGTATAATTATCCTATTTATACCATTATTTCATAATGTGCAGTATGCAGTATCTTAATAATACTAGGCGAATCGTAATTCGTCATCGCACATGTGTAAACATTGTTTATTAGTCTTATCCTATCCATTTTTACCAGAAGCTTGATGACGGCAGCAGCTTCTCTCAGTTTGTGTGTTGAAATGAAAACAGAATTTTAAAATATTTTCTATGTCAGAACAAATATGATATCATATTATCAAATATTAAATATAAATAGTTATCATCTCTCAATCAAAATAAATCATACCTTAAAAACATTTCAGCCCTTTTTTTAACTACAGGATTAGTAGATATCACAGGATCTTGCATTGGAGTAACTGGATCTGAAACATTAAGTTAATTTTCTTTCAGCAACATGCTTCACTTCTATAATTATTCCTTTGCTACTTTATATTATTGTAATACTTTTAGCCATGATTTTACACAGGCGTTTGTGACAAATGAGCACACAATCAAACTGATGGTAATTTGATGCTGTACCTATAGATATCTACATTTAAATTCAATAAAAAATTAAAATTCAGATGCGTTGTCACCCCTGAAGACTACGATAGAATACCTCATTTCCAGTAAAACCTAAACACCATACAAAACTCACCCGCACTAAGCAGCGTGGCTCTACCACATATAGGTCATAAGAACTTCATTAAAAACATAGAATTATAATTACAATCATAGAAACACATTAAATATACAGAGTAATTCAAAATTTTTGCATTATAAAAAAGTATATATCTTATGTTCAATAAATTGAAACTGTTAAAAAATGGCATCATAAGTCAGACTAACCAAGATTTTCTTTGTGAGAAGTATTTCCTTCCATTTTTGTGTATAATCGATGTACCGAACGTTCAGAGTAATAACCTGAAATGAAATTCATAAAGCAATATCAAAAGAAGAAAAGGAAAGATTTAAAGAAATAACCAAAATAAACATATCACTATAGGTTAGGAGAAATGGGTGTTTCTCAGTGGATTGAAGTGTAGATCCCACGACAATATAGTGTGAAGTTTAGCGTATGTTTCCTCTCAGTACCATCTTTACCAACATTACACGGCGACCCTGCCAGACAATGCGCTGCGACAATGCAAGTGCACTGTCGCAGTATGAATAATTATTAAACTGATAAATAAAAAAAAAAGAATTTAACTGTAATTGACACAATTATACTGGATATGATGAAAAGAAAAATTAAATGCGCATATAAATATGGCCTTTTCTTAAATATTTAATATTACATACTTTTTGAGCAAAATGCTGCGGGGATTGCAATTTGTATTTGGATCTGTCTGTTGGAATGTTAATTATCTGGGGGCACGGCAGTGCCAAGTGCCGCCAAGTCGAGCAAAAAAGCGGCACGGCCGTACCATACTTTTCTCGAAGTGATTCAGGCCATTTTCGACCCCCTATATTTATAATTTATTTAATTCAAAACTCTTGTGGCTTACAGAAAATCCAACACGCACACAAGGTTTAATTTTACATGCAAAAAATATTTAAAAAATTCATCCAATTATAACAAACGAATTAATAGTTATCACTTATAAATTACTTACTAATTAAAAATAACAATCATAAATTAAACAATTATGCAATATTAGTGTTATAAGCCTTTAGCAACGCGTGTCGAGAAATTAAAATATGAAAATAAAATATTAAAATATGAATATAAAAAGAAAAAGGTCGCAATCATACAATGTCAGGCTATGAAATATTTTGTCATATTGTGTCTATAACTTCGTAGTGGATAAAACTAGAAGCCTGAATTTTCAGTAACCAAGTAGGCATTGTATAAACATGGTATATTTCAAATTTCATTCAATTTGAACCAGTAGTTTAAGAATTATAACTAGTCAAAATTTCTTAATTTTGTCACTCACTGACTGACCGATCATCAAAACTCTAAGGCACTTCTAGCAGATATAGAAGCTTAAAATTTAGAACACAATTAGAGTTTAGTGTATAAATCAAGGAAAAACTATAATATTTTTAAATTTCGGTCCAGTTTTCTAGATACACCAACTGCATAAATAGCTTTGTAATCCAATATAAATATATAGAATTACAAGGTTACATTTGCAGTGAATGAATCAGTGTTCTTTTATATGTATAATAGGTGTAGATAGGTACGTTGTTGGTATACAAGAAGTAGAAGGTACCGGAAAGAAAAAGAACTAGGACTATCTTGTCTACAAAAAGAAATGAGATGCCATCAAACCATAACTTGTATAAAAACCAAGTCTCGCAACTCAGTTCTTCTACTGTAAAGTTGTGAGATCCATGTAATACCAAGTCTATTAATTTATTCAGTCCCTACTTAAGGGTCCTTCTGTTTCATTAAGCAATTTTATTTAATATAATATGTATTACTTGTGAGATACATTGCGTTTTCATGCGATGGCCAAGTCAATCTATATATTTAAAACATAAAAGATTTTTAACATTGGTATGGTCACTATAAAATGTTGTTAGATTAGCTAATTTCATAATAACTTAAAACAGAAGGACCCTTAACTAGGGACTGAGTAAATTAAGTGGTGTTATAAATTGAACATAAGTATCTGAGTGTCTGTCTTAAGTATCATAGTGGCCGCATAGGTGGACTATTATTTAGCTTTTTTTGCTGAAAGGTAACCAGATCAAGAGTGTTCTAAGTTATGATTCAAGAATATCTGTTCAGCCATTTGAAGATCATCAGCTCTTTTTTTTGTTTTGGGTTTACTAAATTTTTATTAGTTATTTAACAAAATATCCTTCATAAGTTTTATAAATCTTATGTTCAATTAGTGCATTATATTTTTATAGAGATTTTATTATTTAATTTTATGGACTTCTTAAGTCAATCCAAATTTACTTGGAACTTCTATGGTATCATTTCAACCCTTTCTACAGGAAACTTCTCTCTTTTTTTAATAATAAATTTACATTTTTCCAAATGTATATTATGATATGACATACTCATAAATAAACAATGATGGAAGTATTAAAATATTAGTCCCCTTGAGAAGATCACATACTATGTTCAGTAGTGGATTTGTGATGTGCTGTAATGATGATAGTATTATGATTATAAGTATATATAGCAGACTTGTTGAAAAATATCAGTACCTGTAGGTGTTGACAACTTTGCCAGGTTCAAAATATATTTCATGGGTTTTCTTCTCATAACTGCTGATTTATTTGATGATGTAGCTAAAAGAAAATAATAGGATTAACTTTGAAATTATTTAAGTATATCATTATTATACCAGTATCTGTAATGACTTACAAAAGTATATTTTCACTGTATAATAATATTATAAAATAGTTTATTTTTAAAAAGTATAGAGGGGTGATAACACATTGCAAGCTTAATATTTATGAAAACTAGACTTAATGTAATCATTACATGCATTATCCTTTATAGTCCGATAGCGCATAGGTATAAATAGTATGTAATAGTATTCTAGTTAGATTAATGAATGAATCAGGGTAAAATTACTACTAGTTAGATAACTACTTAATTAGGCATATTTTATAAAGAATACAATATTCATACTATATTATGTTCCTAATTCATTCCATAATATGTTTACTCATTCTATAATCCATAAAAACAAACCTGGTACTAGTATATTCAAAGTAGGCACAGCAATGTTACTGATTCTGTTATTTCTGCATTGAAACTTTTCTTCAAAATGTGAGTGACACATGGCGATACTTGAAGTTGAATATGTGCATATTTTTGAGGTCTAGTAAATCACCACCAATTGCTTAAAGCCATACCCTAAATCGTTCATTATCGTTTTCCATGTTTGGAAATCCGTGAAGAACATGTTGTATGCATAAAATACTTAAGAGATACATATTTTAAAAAAAACTTATTTAGATAACACTTATGCTTATGACAAATAATGCCCCTGAAGCAAGTTGTTTAGACGAGATGATATACTGTCACTGTCCTTAAATCCGGGGACACAGCTAAGCTTACATATTTATTTACAAAATGTCACAAAATACAAATAGGTAATTGAAAATGGTTGTACTTGTACGGAAAGCGTAAATAAATTCACGTAACGGCAGGATGATGTGCTGCCAGATTTAGTTTCAAAATCATACCAAAAACATCTAGTTATGGTTTTTTTTAATGAACAGTTTTACGAAAGCACATGTAATCGGTATTTATTTATAAGCACACGTTAAAAACTTTCATCACAGATTTTTATTAACTTTAAACAAAAGAAAATATCTTAATTTCCGCTACACTTATTTTCTACTAATTGGAATATTTTTTTAAATATTTTGTAAATTTACCTACAGGTAGTGGCGACATCTAGTATCTGTTTAAAGAATTATTCGCTTGAATTTGAGAACAGCGTCACCAGCGACAAATATTGTAAATAATTTAACAACAAAGTTCTAAGTAAACGATGTTCCAACGAAAATCCTAGATGTTGACGGTGATGTACAAAACGACTTTGCTGCCTCGTTACCGTCGTCTTCGCCTGCAGTAAACACCGAATTTCCCACAAATATGATGGATGCCGCCGCCTCTACTACCTCGGTGCCGCTGTCTCCACACGCAGCATCCGCCGACGCTCTTAAAGAAACCGCTTCCACAGCTAATGATCTATATATTGCTTTTAGCACTACTTTTGAACCACAGGTTAACACTTCATCGATTCTTTTGCAATCGATCACGCAATTCTAGACAGTATTCCTAGTACCTCGAATAGAACAAACACAGCAAATAATTCTCGATCTTCAATTGTAGACTCAAATGATTCCCCTTACGTAGATTCTGAATCGTCTTACCATCCAGAAAATAACAAACCTGCAACTTCATCTGATATATCTCGGGACGAGATTGAGGAAACAAATGTTCGAAAAAAAAAGTAAAAAAACCAAACCCAGACAAGTGGAAGAGAAATTTAGCAAAAAACAAACGTCAAAGCGGTAAATATTATATCAACAGAAAGCATAACATTGTTAGCGCAAAAACTGTGTTCCTACAGAATGCAGTAAATGTAGATACAAATGTAATGAAAATTTTCCTGAAAATGTAAGAGCTGATCTCTGTCGTAATTTGTGGGGACTTGAAGAAAGCAAATATCAAAAAATTTACCTTTCAACTCTTATTAAAACACGCAAATATTCAACGTATAACGGTTGCAGCTACAAAACGAAACGATGTTGTCAAAAAAAATTTTGCAACACTTTTGTTATAAGTGGAAGTGTAATTGATACTTGCACTAAACAGATGGGACCAAATTGCGTTTACGTGGGTCATAACCTACAGCAGGGACTTATTCCTGGAAACAAAACAGTTAACCTTAAATACTTGGAATCTGGCCATTCGTACCTTGAGGCTGACTCTATACATGCAAGAATAGAGCGCGCCCGAAAGCATAAAAAATATTTACTGCAAGAGAGTATGCTTTAGTTGTCAGTTTTGCGAGATCCAGAACCAAACCTTACGATGTGATCATGATGAAGTACCCCGATTTCTATGATTTAAAAGCTTTAGAAAAGTCATTGAATTGCAACATGGTAAAAAACAAAAATAATGAAACAGTAAAGGGGATGACCATCAAATGGATACAAGTAAGAAAGGAGTCTCCGGGATCGGTATTTTACAAATATAAACTGATACGACTTTCAAAGAAATTGACATTGCTGCATGTAAAAAAAGGCGAAAGAGTGAGATAAATAACCAGTACGGTGTAAAGGAGTGAGTAACTTAAGATTGGCCGAGGAACGGAGAGAAAAATTATGAGAATCTCTCATGTATTGAAATTTAGATTTCAGATACTCGGGAGCACATGGATCGTTCAAAATTGAGAAAAGGGTGCAGAGTATTCTAACATATCTACGCTGACGGATAGGCAACCAGTTTAACTGTGTACGAAAGGAAGATACATGGTCGTATTTACGAAGATCATAAATGTATCTGATGCAGTTGTTAAGCAGACGATCCAATGTATTAAGATGAAGTTGAGACAGGTCTGAGCAACACACATCGACATAATCAATAATCGGTACAATAAGTGATTGGACAAGTGAAATCTTGGTATTGGTGGGAAGAAAGTTTTTAAATCGATATAGAGATCGCAAAGTTCCAGTAGATTTGCGACTCACCTCCTGTATATGTTTGTTCCATGTTAAGCAACCATCGATGTACAGACCAAGGTTCTTTATGCTAGTAGAGAATGGTATGACATTATTATTAAACATAATTGATGGTAGGGTGGCAATATCCAGTTTAGATAATAATCTTGAGCTACCTAAGATTATCGTTTGGCATTTAGACGGGTTCACGTTTATGCCATACACAGTAGACCATTCTGAGATATATTTTAAATCATCATTTAACAGTGAAATAGCACTTAGGATATTTGAAGGCTCCACTTGCGCATATAACTGCAGATCATCAGCATACAGAGCTCTTGAGATTTAGTGTGATGAGATTTATAATAAAAAGCGGCCAAGAGCGTGTCGGGCCACGCTCAGTGTAGGGTTCCGTAGTTTCCCGTCCTTCACAGTAAGTGTTCCCACTTATGAGTTTGTACAAAAACTGTTGTTTCCATCCAAGTTCAAAATAATTTTCCTAGAAAGTCCTTATAAAGTTCTACTTTCCAGATTTTTTTCATATTTTTTAAACTTATGGTTCAAAAGTTAGAGGGGGGGGGGGGGACACATTGTTTTTTACTTTTGGAGCGATTATTTCCGAAATTATTGACATTATCAAAAAATGATTTTAGTAAACCCCTATTCATTTTTAAATACCTTTCCAAGAATATATCACACGTTAGGGTTAAAATTAAAAAAAAAAATCACTTCCCACTTTACATATAGGGGGGCTACCCTAACAAAAGATTTTTTTTCCAATTTTTATTTTACCACTTTGTCGGCGTGATTGATACACATATTGGTACCAAATTTCAGCTTTCTAGTGCTAACGGTCACAGAGATTAAGCGAGGACGGACAGACGGACAGACAGACATGGCGAAACTATAAGGGTTCCTAGTTGACTACGGAACCCTAAAAATGGAAAACAGAAGAGGAGAGATAATACTTCCTTGAGGGACGCCAATTGACACATCACGCCAGTCAGATAGTATATGACCAGTACGCACAGCCTGTTGGCGCTCCCAAAGATATGTTGAGAACCATTCCTGAGCTGAAGACGAGATATTCAAATGAGAAAGAAGAGCTAACAGAATACCATGATCGACAGAATTAAATGCATTAGAAAAATCAATTAAGATGAGAACGGTCAGTTTTGATTTTTCCATCCCCTCACGAATATCTTCCGTAACCTTGAGAAGAGCAGTAGTAGTAGAATGACCCGGGCGGAAACCAGACTGATAAGGGGAAAGAATATTCATTGAGAAAACAAAAGCAGAAATCTGTTTATGAGCGACAGCTTCCAGAACCTTAGAAAGAAACGGCAGAATAGAAATTGGTCTGAAATTAGATAAAGAGCTGCATTCAGTAGCTTTCGGGATGGGAATAATAAAGGCTTTACGCCAGAAAGTTGGAAAAGCACCATTCATCAGCGAAAAGTTAATTATATGAGTTATCACGGGTAAAACAGAATCCAGCACGTGCAAAACCATTACCCTACTCACGTCATCACATCCAACGGCTTTCGATTTAATAGAGGAAAGTGCTTTGCGTACCTCGTCTTCGTCTACAGGAGTAAAAGTGAAAGTTTCATGAGAATAAGGAGGCATAGAAGATATAAAAGAGATGGCATTAGCTCTAGAATCATCAGAAACTATTTGAGAGGACAGAAAATGACGATTAAAATCGTCAGGAGAAAAGGTGAGGCTATTATAGTCAAATTGCGATTTTCCATATCCAAGCGTATTCAGAAACTTCCATATATCAGCCGAAGATGAATTAAGTAGTTGCTCGTGGATATATCGGCGTTTAGCAGCTCTCACCACCTGCAGCACAGAGTGCAGACAGCACATGCTGCAGATTTCTTGCAGCTTTATATGCTTGCCACTTTACCTCAGTGCGATTCTTCTTGAAAGCACGGAAAGTTCTATCGCGTTTAGCCATAGCCAATCTTACCCCAACCGTGATCCATGGAACAGGAGGACGCTTCAGTCGAACAACACGCTTAGGAGCATGTTTATTATACAGTCCTAATATGTTGCTGTTAAAGAAGTCGACTT